TTTATTCTAAACAAGTTATCTTACTTCGAGAGACGGAAGATCCCTCATGTGCGACCGCTTCCATTTTTTGGTAACATGGCACCTTTTGCTTTTCGACGTATATCCGCTGCGGAGCTCATACAAAGAATATACAACCGCTTTCCGGACGCAAAGTACTTTGGCTTCTTCGAATTTATAACGCCGACTTATGTTATACGTGATCCAGACCTGATTTCCACGATAGCCATCAAAGAATTCGACAATTTCATCGATCATCGTGGTTTCGTCAACAGCACTCTGGATCCGATAGCCGGTCAAAATCTATTTAACCTGAAAGGTGATCACTGGCGCGAAATGCGAAAACTTATTAGCCCCAGTTTCACGTCCAGTAAGATGAAGATGATGTTCGAACTTATGTGCAAATGCGCCGAGAACTTCACCAATTTTGTAGCAACGCAATCCGGAGAAATCGGCAAGACATATGATATAAAAGATCTACTTTGCAGATACGCCAACGACACGGTGGCCACATGCGCCTTCGGTATCGATTTGGATTCTTTTAAGTATCCGAAGAACGAATTTTTCCTGCTTGGCAGGAAAGCATTAAATTTTGACGGCGTCCTATCTTTCAAGTTCTCCATGCATAGAAACTTCCCTTTTCTTGCGAATCTCTTCAAACTGAGAATGTTTGGTCCAAAGGTAGAGAATTTTTTCAAAGAAGTCGTGTCTGACACGTTGAAAGTCAGAGATGAGCAGGGAATTGTTCGCCCGGACATGATTCAGTTGATGATGGAAACCAGGAAGAAAAATAGTGGACCTCAGTTCAACATCGACGAAATGACGGCTCAGGCGTTCGTTTTCTTTCTCGCTGGATTCGATTCTGTTTCAACAGCTATGTGTTTCATGCTGCACCACGTCGGTGTCGATCCCGATATTCAGAAAAAATTGAGAGAAGAAATCGACGATGTTCTCAGACAGACTAACGGCAAGCCTACCTACGAGGCCATCAATCGCATGAAATATTTGGACGCCGTGGTAAACGAATCTCTCAGAATGTATCCAGTAGCAACTTTTCTAGACAGAATATGCGTCAAAGAGACCGAATTGCCACCAGCGACTCCGGATGGTAAACCAATCACGATAAAGCCTGGAGATTCCATATGGTTCCCGAGTTTCGCTGTGCATCGTGATCCAAAGTACTATCCACATCCAGATAAGTTCGATCCAGAGAGATTCCTTAACGGCAATGTAGACAACTCAATCTATATGCCATTTGGTATCGGGCCTAGAATCTGCATAGGTAATAGGTTCGCCCTAATGGAATCAAAAGTCATGCTGTTCCATATACTTTGGCACTGCGATCTCGAACCTGATGTTAAAACTAGCATTCCGATAGTGTTGAATAAGAAAACATTCGTTATGATGTCGGAGAAAGGTTTTTGGTTGAAATTGCGAGCAAGGAAATCGAAGACTCCAGTTATGCAATGCTCTGTGTCGAACGGATACAAAGTTGAGGGACAATAATGAAGCACATACGTAAAATTGACTTTTTAAATTATATACCAAGAATCCAACTTCTTCCTTAATTAAACATGTAAAAAATTAAAAGTTTTAGAAAAGCTATGTTTTTTTTTAATTGGATCGCATCGTTGTTTTAAAAAAAACTGAGGTAAAAATTTATTGAATATATTTATAATGTTCTGGTAAAATATAGTAAGTGTAGTACTATGAATTGTAAATTTCTTTTTTGTTTTATCTTTGTTTATATATAAGTCAGATAAATTTTGTAAGTAATGGATATTAACTTTTTTACATTATTTTATATTACTCTTGCAATCCATGTTTTAATATAAATTGATATTAAATGTTTTAATCTGATTAATTTTTTTTAACTGAGTGGATCAAATATTATGAACGGTGTATTGTTCAATACATTACTTTATAAATGATGTATATGTAAAGTATTTTTTTAAAAGTGCAATCTTTTTCAGTTAAATTTAATTTTAACAATAAATGTAAAAATGATAGCTCTGTAAAAAATTTGATTTAAAATATTTTAAAGCAATATTATAATTTCTAATTATAATCCAAGATGAGATTTTAAAGTGTTGTATCAATAAAATTATATGATATTATTTCGACAATCTGTAAAAAAAATAAATAAAATCAAAGAAATTAAAATTTTATAAAGAAAGAAAATTATGATTCTTTTCATTAATCATATTTTTTATTATTTTAACTAATTTAATTAACTAGTTTAATTTTTATATTTGGTCAAATATAGTTTCAAATTATTAGTTTAATAAAAATAATATGTTCAATGTCTTCTTTAAAACTTGCGAAACGATATCTTATATAATTTTGGAATAAAATTACTTGGATTAAAGATTATTCCATACATTGATTATATAACTAAAGATTATTAATGATAGATTGTAGGAGTTTATTGACATGAGCATTTTAATCTCGTAATCAGAGAAGAATGACAAATTGAATAATATACACATTTTTCTAGTTATGTAATACACCTCTTCTAATGTAATACGTATATGTGTTAAGATAATGTATAAGTAATTAAATACTTCATTGTCCAAATATGTTTTTGTTTCTTTAAATATAATAAACAACTTAAAATAAAATAACATCAAATGTATCAATGCTTAAGCAGAGTAAAAGAGAGAGAGAGAAAGAGAGAGAATTATTAATACAAAATAAATAAAAATTAATTATATTATACGTACATTAGTGTAATTAATATATGTATGACACTATTAAACTGTTTATATATTCTAGACTCAAAATATTAAAAACAGAAAGTTCAATTCGTTTTTTGGTATTTGCAGTAATCTCATTTCTGAATAGAAAACAGAACGGACTTTCCATTCAACCCAATATTACGTAAAATAAAAGTGATACGTTAAAACAGCAATAAAATTGTTAATTAATCTAAAGAAATTTATTTTTGTTTAATTAGATAAAGTTATTCTTTGCAAACAAATAAACTCGAAAGTACAAATAAATTGCATTTAGTATTTACAGTTTTTTAGATAAAGAAACGATGCTTAATTCTGCTTCTTATAATTAAATATAAAAAGCAACTTTATGTTTAAATGTAGTATAATATTAATTGATAAATTAATTAACAAATTAATTGGTAAATTAATTAACAAAACACAAGCCAAGAAATAATATCATTAATATGTTGTTAGACAAATTTTTAATATTTTTTCTTTTTAACTTTGCTTAGTTTAAATAATTTTTAATATTTGAAATAAATATTTCGTTAGCCTATATTCAAATATTCAACGATGATATAGCTAAAGTGAGATCCACGTACAATCAGCCACAACTTCAGTTAGTCTTTAACCCCGCTCAATTCATAAATGATAAACTTCGTCAATAATCTTGCAATAGGTCATCATCAGGTATCTTACAGATAGAGTATGACTTATTACAAGATTATTGTTAGTGACACAAATTTTACAGATAGAGTAGTATGACCTACTAAACTCTGGTACGATTTTACAATATTTTTAAAGCAAAAATAACTGGTATAGAGGAGAAAAAAAGTCTTTGTATCTTGCATATTTTCAGATAACGTATCAGAATGATAAGCTATATCTATCGTTTGTTTATCATGGAAATTTTTTTAAGCTTCTAGATAAAAGATTAGAGAATTAATAAAGGCAGTAATAATAAAATAAATTAATTTATAGAAGATTAATTAACAATGTCTCCTGTTTGTTTTTGTGTTGCGTAAACTGATATTAGTTTACTAATCAAATAAAAATTCGCTTGTTGTGTTGCGTAATTAGTTTATTAAGATATAAGAATTACTTTTAATTTCACTGTAATAAGATTAAAACTTTCATAGTACTGAGAGAGAGAGAGAGAGAGAGAGAGAGAGAGAGAGAGAGAGAGAGAGAGAGAGAGAGAGAAAAGACATATTCTTTATAACG